CTCTGCGCAGCAGGGCTCCTGGGCACGGGGCGGGGCATCACCGGTGCAGACGGCTCGGCGGCAGGGGCAGGTGACGGGGCCATCATCGACGAACTCGGGGACGCGGCTGGCCTCCCGCGCTCGGCGCGCTGCTCCTGCGGCTGCTTGCCCGACGCGCGGCGCTTGCGAGTTGCCCCACTCACCGTGGATAAGTCTACACACGCACACTGCACCCATCGGAATCTGGAATCTACAGGATGCGTATCGGATAAGTTTACATACGCACACTGCGCCCATCGGAATCTACAGAATATGCTTCGATTTCCCATGGATCCTACGCACCTGCAACTTACATACTAATCTACAGAATATGTTTCGATGTCCCATGGCTCCTTTCCAGAGTGTTCATGTTGGAGGGGGTGGCCTTAGATCAGATGGGCAGTGACAGAACAAACGGTTGGTCGTCCTCGCAGTCGTCGTCGTCGCGGTTTGCGTCGTCGCGATCAACGTCGACGTCGACGTCGACGTCGACGACGACGACGACGACGACGAGGGCGACCAACCGTTTGTTCTGTCATCGATCATCTTATCTAAAGCCCCTCCTCCTAATCTCACTCGTTCGTGCTCTTTGTCCGAGTCAACTTGAGATCGCAGGCGGGGCCCGCGCCGCCGCCTCGCGCTCCTGCGACCGCTGCCCGAGGAAGCTGGCGCCGCCGATCATGCCCTGGAACGCGCCGTCGTCGTCGCAGTGCGCCGCCAGCTGGAGGGGACTGTCTCCTGACGCATCCGCGGGCTCGGCATCCTCAGCAACAGCTGCGGGCGCAGCGGGCTCGGCGACCTCAGCCGCGGCTGCGGGCGCAGCGGGCTCGGCAACCTCAGCCGCGGCTGCGGGCGCAGCGGTCTCGGCGCACTCGATTGTCGACTCGATCTCAACGTCGCCGAGGTCGTCGGCCGCGTCCGTCTGGACAAACTTGGGCGGCCACTTCTGGTTGAACATCTTCTCGTAGCGCTCGAGCATGGCCGATCGTGCGTCGGGCAGCTGCTCACGCTCTGGCACTGGAGCGGCAGAAGACCCAACTGACCGACCATCATCGGAGACGCACCCCTTGAAATGGTCGAAGCTGTTCAGCTCCGCGTGTTCGAGGAGGCCATGCGCGAAGATGCTGTCTGTGGCCGTCATGCCCTCGCGAAATCCAGTCTTCGGGTAGCGCCACCGCGCAGATGGCGTCGTCTGTTCGTGATCGTCCTCCAACATGTACAGCCTCAGCTCGTTGAAGACGAGCCTCAAGTGGTCCGCCGCCTCAGTGATCCAGCGCGTCTGGCAGTAGTTCTTCGGGGGGTGCTCGCAGCTTGGGATGGATCTCAAAATGGCTGTCTCGATCTTCGGCATGGGCAGGACGCAGTTCTCGAAACCTATTTCGAGAAAGCCTTGGAGCAACGACGCCACTGTCGCCATCATCGTCGGCGTAGCTCCGTGCTGATCTTTGACCAAACGGCAACGCGCGATATCCAACTCCTGGTACCTTTGAAATTTGCCACCTGTACCGAAATCGCATCTTGTGAAGCAGACGGCTATCTCGCGAGGCTTCCTCGTGGCCATCTGGCCAGCAGAAAAGGATTGCCACCTAAACAGGATCGATCAAAAAAAAGCTGCGACATGATTGTAATGTTGGTCTGCGTTCGGCGCGTGAACCCCGAACAACGTGTAGCGTGAACTCCAAACGGCGTCCAGCGTGAACCCCAAACAATTTTCAGCGCGAGCCCCAAACAGCGTTCAGCGCGAACCCCAAAAAAACGTTCAGCGTGAACCCCAAACAGAAATCCGCGTGAACCCCAAACAAAATTCAGCGCGAACCCCAAACATCATCCTGCGTGAACCCTAAGCAGCTTTCAGCGTGAACCCCAAACCGAGTTCAGCGAGAACCCCAAACGTGCTGGCCAGCGTGCACAACAAACGTGTCAGCAGAATCCGCTGACCCTCAGGGAGACCACCAGGTGCATGACACCATCTGAATCTATTCCCATGTAATCAGCAAACCCAACCGAGCAGCCAGACCAAAACGCAGCGAGCCCGACCGAAACATTCTGCGAAATTGATGTGCCAACACTACACGAAAACAAGCTGTGGTTTAGCGCGCCCGTGTACTACATGTATTTTTTTTTATAAAAAACAAAAAATATTAAAAAAAGGGCTGATGCAAGCTAAGATCAGAAAAGATGAAGGGCCAATCTAAGGTAAGGTTTTAAGGTCAAGGTAAATTGAGGGAAAAATAAGGGTCGGAAAATCTAAGTTAAAGTCTGTTCCGGAAATCTAGGGGGCCCTGATCTTTATGGAAAACGCGAGGGCGCCGGTTTGGAATTCGTCGCCAAATTCGCAAGATTTCCCGGATCTCGCCGGAAACGGAACAAGGCGGCCTCAGCAGAGGGCCTCCTGAAGGAAACTCTGGGAGCCCGTTTTTTCTAAGGATGTCCCACGCGACGGCGCCGGTTTGGATTCTCGCCGGATTTCCGGATGTCGCCAGAAACGAGACAAGTGGGCCTCTGAGGGCCTCCTTAGGGAGGCTCCGGGGGCCGGTTTTTCTGAGGATGTCCCACGCGAGGGCGCCAAATTGGAGCTCGTCGCCAGATTCACCAGATTCGCGGATTTCCTGGATCTCACCGGAAATGGAACAGAGGGGGCGGTCGGCGGGGCCATTGCCTCGCGCGCCGGGGGTCAGGATGACGTGAGTTCCACAGAAACTCCCTCAAAGGATGATGATGATGATGATGATGATGATGATGATGATGATGCTGATGATGCTGATGATGATGATGATAATGATAATGATGATGATGATGATGATGATGATGATGATGATGATGATGATGATGATGATGATGATGATGATGATGATTGTGGTGATGATGCTGGTTATGATGATAATGCTGATGATGAGGATGATGCTGAGGATTATGATTGATGGTGATGATGCTGATGATGATGATTGTTGTTGAAGATGATGATGGTGGTGATGATGAGTATAATGATGGTGATGATGATAATTATGATGATGATGATGATGATGATGCTGATGACGACGATGATGATGATACTGATGATGATGATGACGATGACGATGACGATGACGATGATAATAATGATAATCATGATGCTGATCATGATGATAACGACGACGATGATGATGATGATGCTGGTGGTAATGATGATGGCGATGACCATAGTGAAAATAATGAACATGATGGTACGATGATGATGGTGGTGATGGTGAGCATGATGATGATGAGTATTATCATGATGATGGCGGTGGTGATGATCCTGATCAACAGCAAGTGCTGACGAGGTCAGAGCAGCAGAAGCATCGATCCTCTCAGCGCATGCCCGCCGACTGCTCCAACGACGCGGCCGCAGCGCCCCAGGCTGACGGTGTCGCGACGGCAACCTGGTGGCCCAGGCAGAGCTGCGCGACGTCGGCCCACGCCATCAGCATGGAGCGCTCCAGCCGCCGGCGCCCACGGCCGCATCATGACGCTGGGCCGCGGGCCCTCGATGGCGGCAGGCTCCGCGACCTGCATCTGCAGGAGCGCGGCGGACTGCACGCGAAGGCGCCCGTGCGTCTCGAAGCTGAGCGCGGCAACCTCCTGGCCGCACTTCGCGGCCATGTACCGCGGCCGCTGCAGCCTCATGCGCGCGCACCTGCCGCGCACATTGGATGCGGATCCCCACGTCCCACCGCCATGCATATGTAGCGGCCAGCGCTCTGAATTACGACGACGTCCAGCATGGCCTGCTTGTACTCGGGCACGGCCCCCTCCGATGCCACCGTGTCGGCGCTGGTACAACCCAGGTACGTGTCGCTCTTTGTTCACATCAGCGCTTGCTTGGCGGGCGAGCTGTGCCGACTCTGTGAGCAGGGCCCGGTGCGGCCTCTGGTGCGCAAGGCCTTTCTTGCACGTGGTGACGTGGCTGGTGGCGCTGCCCAACCCTCCCTCGGCATCGCAGAGCGCCGCGCCACACACACACACTCACACACACACACACACACGCACACACACACACACACACGCACACACACACACACGCCTTTCGCCCTTGCAAAGCAGATGGCATGTCGCCCAGTGAGAAGTCTAGACGTGCTTTGGTGGCGACCACAAAATGCGCATCCCAGAGAAACTCGTCCTTCCTCCGAGCGATGGCCGCCCAAAGGATGAGAAAGATGATGATGAGGAACGTTTTGGAACGTGTTGGTAAGCAACGTCGTGCAACGAGGCGGGCAGGGCAAGAGAGGAAGAGAGCAGCAAGCAGGAGCGCAACGATGATGATGAGGAGAAGGAGGAGGAAGAGAAGGAGGCGGAAGGAAGGACGAGGAGGGTGGATGGAGGAGGGAGGAAGAAGGCGGGAGGAGGGAGAAGGGAGAAGAAAAGAGGGAGGAGGGAGGAGGCAGGTGGGACGAGGCGGAGGAAGAGGAGGCGGAGGAGGAGGAGGAGGAGGAGGACGGCGGAGGGAGAAGGGAGGACGGAGGAGGGAGGAGGACGGAGGGAGAAGGAACGAGGGAGGAGGGAGGAGGGAGGCGGAGGGACGAGGACGAGGTACCAGGAGGGAGGAGGGAGGAGGCAGGAGGAAGAGGAGGAGGAGCAGGAGGAGGAGGAGCAGGAGGAGGAGGAGAAGGAGGAGGAGGATGGGGTAGGAGAGAAGAAGAAAGACGAGGAGGAGGAGGAGGAGGAGAAGGAAAAGGAGGAGGAGGAGGAGGAGTGGTGGAGGAGGAGGAAGAGGCGGCGGCGGCGGCGGGCTCCTGGGTGTCTAACGTCGGCAGGCAGGAGGAGGAGGAGGAGGACTCGAGGAGGAGGAGGAGGAGGAGAGGAGGAGAGGAGGAGGAGGAGGAGAGAGAGAGGAGGAGTAGGAGGAGGAGGAAAAGGCGGATGAGGGGAGAGAGGAGGACGAGAAGGAGGGAGGAGGAGGAGGAGGAAGAAGAAAAGGAAGAGGAGGAAGCGCCAGAGCCGGAGACGGAGCTGGGCGGCGCATCCTCGTACTCCGAGTTGTCCTGACCCCGCATCTCCTCGGCCTCGCTCTGGGACTCCCTGTTCTCAGCGATCAGCCTCCCCATCCAAAAGGAGGAGGAAGGGGGGAGGAAGAGGAGGAGGAGTAGGCGGAGGAGGAGGAGGACGAGGAGGAGGAGGGGGAGGAGGAGGAAGAGGACGAGGAGGAGGAGGAGGAAAAGGAAAAGAAGAGGTAGAGAGGAGGAGGAGAGAGAAGAGGAGGAGGAGGAGGAAGAAGAGGAGGGGGAGGAGGAGGAGGAGGATGATGATGATGATGATGAGGAGGAGGAGGAGGAGGAGGAGGAGGAGAAGGAGGAGGAGGAGGAGGAGGAGGAGGAGGAGGAGGAGGAGGAGGAGGAGGAGGAGGAGGATGGAAGAGGGAGTGGGCGGTGGACCTGGAGGGGAAGTGGAGGTTGATGAAGGGGCCCACGGACACGCACACACACACACATATATATAGAGAGAGGTATGTATATATATATATATATATACACAAATCCTAAGATTCGAGAGAACGCGTTTCACGGGCACTCGCCTTGGGAACATTCGGCCGCGCGTTTCAAACCAGGGGGTGGCCCCCCCCCAACACTCGGCGCCGTCGATCAAAACCAGGGGAGGGGGAAACCCCCCCCCTCCCGAACCCCCCCCCCTCCCGGGGGCGGGATTCAGGGTTCAAACCTCCCCCCCGCCCCTCCTCGGCGCCGGTGCCAGCGCAGGCTCTGGCGGCCGCCAGCAGCGCCCACGGCGGGGACGCAGCGACGATGACCAGAGGCAGCTCAAGGGGGGGGGTTCAAACACCCCCCCACACTCGCGCCGGCGCCGGCGCCGGCGCTGGCGCCAGCGACGGCGGGGACGCAGCGACGATTACCACCAGTGCCACCACCACCACCACTACCACCACCACCACCGCCTCAACCCACCACCACCACCACAAACAACAGCACTACACAACCACCACCACAACCACCACCACCACAACCACCACCATAACTCACCTTCACCACAACCACCACCACAAAAACCCACCACCACCACAAACACCACCATAACTCATCATCACCACCACTACCACAATCTACCACACCACCACCACCGCCTCAACCGCTACCAGCAGCACAGCCCACCGCCACCACCACAAACCACCACACCACCACCACTACCACCACCACCACCACCACCACCACCACCACAACAAACGTCCACAAACCACCGCCACCACCACAACCCGCCACCACCACCACCACCACAAACCACCACAAACCACCACCACACCACGACAACCACCATCACCACCACCACAAAAACCACCACCACAACAACCTACCACACCACCACCACCACAGCCACAACCACCACCAGCAGCACAACCCACCACCACCTCCACCACCAAAACCACCACCACACCACCACCACCACCGCCACCACCACCACCAGCACCACCTCCACAAACCACCGCCACAACCACAACCCACCACCACCGCCACAAACCAACACCACACCACCACCAAACCACCACCACCACCACCACCACCGCCACAACCACCACCACCACATCAAACCACCACACCACCACCACCACCACCACAACCACCACCACCGCCACCACCACCACCACCACCACCACAACCCACCACCACCACGACCGTCGTCCTCGTCGACGCTCCCCACCACCGCCGCCCGCCGCCGCAAGCGCCAGCCGGCGCTGGCCCAGAAATGGAAATCGTCGTCCCCGCTGCCGTCGCCAGCCGCCGCCGACGCAGGTGCCGGCGCCGGCGCTCGCGGCCGCCAGCAGCGCTAACGGCGGGGACGCAGCGACGATGACCAGAGGCAGCTCAGGGGGGGGGGTTCAAACCCCCCCCCTCTGGCGCCGAAGGGGGGAGTTCAAACCCCCCCCCTCGCGCACGCGCCGGCGCCGGCGGCGGCCAGCAGCGCCGGCGCTGGCGCCAGCGACGGCGGGGACGCAGCGACGATTACCACCACTACCACCACCACCACTACCACCACCACCGCCTCAACCCAACACCACCACCACCAACAACAGCACCACACAACCACCACCACAACCACCACCACCACAACCACCACCATAACTCACCTTCACCACAACCACCACCACAACAAAAAATCCACCACCACCACAACCACCACAACTCATCATCACCCCCAACACCACAATCTACCACACCACCACCATCACCGCCACAACCACTACCAGCAGTACAGCCCACCGCAACCACCACAAACCACCACCACACCACCACCACCACCACCGCCACCACCACCACCACCACCACGAACGTCCACGAACCACCGCCACCACCACAACCCACCACCACCACCACAAACCACGACAAACCACCACCACACCACGACAACCACCATCACCACCACCACAAAAACCACCACCACTACAACCACCACCACAATCTACCACACCACCACCACCACCACAGCCACAACCACCACCACTATCGGCAAACTCACCACTACCACCACAAACCACCACACCACCACCACCGCCACCACCACCACCAGCACCACCTCCACAAACCACCGCCACAACCACAACCCACCACCACCACCGCCACAAACCAACACCACACCACCACCAAACCACCACCACCACCACCACCCACCGCCATAACCACCACCACCACCACCACCACAACAAACCACCACACCACCACCACCACAACCACCACCACCGCCACTCCCACCACCATCACCACCACAACCCACCACCACCACCACCGTCGTCCTCGTCGACGCTCCCCGCCACCGCCGCCCGCCGGCGCCGGCCCAGAAATGGAAATCGTCGTCCCCGCTGCCGTCGCCAGCCGCCGCCGACGCAAGCGCCGGCCCAACCCCCCCTTCCGTCACGGGAAAAGGGGGGCGGTTCGAACCCCCCACCCTCCATCCAAGAGGGGGGGGTCCGGTTCAACCACCCCCCTCCCTCCAAGCGACCACAGAACGCGCTCTTTCCAGGATTCCCAATGTGTTCGCCTAATTATGTTCTGGATGTTCGTTTCCACCCCACTTCCCATTTCCGCCGACCCCTGAGGCGTGTGCAACATTCTTCTTGATAGACACAGCGCCACCACCTTTTCATAACGCTGCCATTAACTATTGAATCGATAATCCGCCGACCCCTGGGGCGTATGAGATATCCTCCGTGATAAAGACAACGCCACCGCCTTTCATAATGCTTGCATTAACGATCGAGCCGATCATTTATCGCGCCCCCCACCTCGCCCCACCGCCCTCACCCCACAAGACGTCTGTTCTCGGGACACCCCACCCAACAATTTCTCGCCCGAAACCAACAAACGCCCCCCACCTCCTCGCCCCGGCACCCCCACCCCACGAAACGTCTGTTTAAGGACGCCCCACCCAACAATTTTTCGCACGAGACCAACAAACGCCCCCCACTTCCTCACCCCGGCACCCCCACCCCACGAAACGTCTATTCTAGGGACCCCCCACCCGGAAAATTCTCGCCCGAGACCCACCGACGCCCCCCACCTCGCCTCGGCACCCCCACCCCACGAGCCGTCTGTTCTGGAGATCCCCCACCCGACAATTTCTCGCCCGAAACCCGCCCCCCACCTCGCCCTGGCACCCCCGCCCAACGAGACGCCTGTTCTTGGCGCCCCCAACGCTACCATCTCTCGCCCGAAACCCACCAACGTCTCCCATCTCGCCCCAGCACCCCCACCCCACGAGACTCTGTTCTCGGGACCCCCTCTGAACAATTTCTCACCCGAAACGCACCAACTCCCCCCCACCTCGCCCCGGCACCCCCGCCCTGCAATGTCTCGCCTGGTTCCAACGCCGTTCTGGACCCCCCGCCAACGCCCTGGCCCCCAGGAGCTGCGTTCTTGGGATCCCGCACCCTGGATTTCTCACCTGGCCCCGACCCCGCCCTCGCCCCCCCGCCGACGCCCAGGCCCCCACGAGCCGTGTTCTTGCGGCCCCGCGCCCTGCAATGTCTCGCGCGGCCCCGACCCCGAATTAACCTCCCCGCCGACACCCTGGCTCCCAAGAGCTGTGTTTTTGGGGCCGCCGCGCGCTGCAATTTCCCGCGCGGCTCCGACCCTGTTCGAGACCTCCCGCCCACACCCTGGCCCCCAGGAGCTATGCTCTTGGGACCCACCACCCTTCAATCTCTCGCCCGGATCCAATTCCGTTCTCGACCTCCCGCCGACACCCAGGCCCCCAAGGAGCTGTGTCTCGGGGCCCCGCGCCCTGCACTTTCTCGTCCGCATCCGCTTCCGTTCTAGACCCCTCGCCGACACCCCGGCCCCCAGGTGCCAGGTTGCACGGAAGCCTCTTCCCAGGGCTTATTTGGGCTCCGTGCAAGGAAATCGCGCGACCTGGTTGGAACAATCCTATAAGTGGCTTTTTTTTTCATACGTTCTCAGAAAAAAAAGTACTTCGCATTTCACACATATCTCATCTTATTGTATTTTCCAGCGTCGCTCCCTAAGCCAACTTTTTTACACTTTTTAATACAGCCCTGAAGCCCCACACGCGTAAACATCCAGACATCAGTATATACCTGCTTTATTTTCATCCCGCCACTGTACACTGTACCTGGGTCGCGAGATCTCTTTGATTATCGTTGGGTTCTACGCTTCTCAAGGGGGAGGCTTCTGAAAACCAAAGTAAAGGTCTCTTGAAGGGCATCTTGGGCTCTCGTAGGCTATACATTGCGATGTAGGGATTCTCTTTGCGTTTTCTCGAGGGTTCCTGGGGGCATCTGTGATGCCCTACGGGGTCTCGAGGACCTCCTTGGGCCCTCTTGGAGCGTGGAGCTAGGATGTTCGGCTTACGGCCCCCCTGCTTGGGCCCCTCTCAAGGACAAGTTCGGAACTTCTCGGATCTTTGGGGCATGGGGCGGCGAAAGCCTTCTGGATTGCATGGCGTTTATCTTTATCTCCCCTGGCAATCTCAACGTCGACACGCCACCACTGCCGTCCAGTGCGTTAGCTCGTGGCCGCCCGGGCTTGGCCGCACCGCCAACCCAACAAAAAGTAGCATAGCAGATGTGGATGAGATGA